GCCACCTTGAGATCCTGCTTGCATCCCTGTCAGCCTGGGGAAGGAGCCACATGCCAAGAACATTAAATCATTAAATAAAGGAGGAAATAAAACCTGCACAGGTGCATAAAATCCCACGTAGGTGCCACTGCTTTACGAAGTGATGCTCTGCTGTGCAAGCTCAACAGCTGCCAGCATCGCCACCAGTAGGAAGGGACAAGCCCAGGTCCCTGACACATCCACTGCCCAAAAATGGCTTCACAGCCTCCTACAAGCACCCATATCAACCAGCAAAGTCCATGTCCTTTGGGGCTTATTATGGTGTGACTCTGGGAATACATCAGCAAACTCATCTGAAGCATCTTCCCATTTGCAACAGGAGAGGTACCCAAAACCCTGATGCCCCCAAACTGCTGATAACTCTTACCCTTACTTTACCTTGTTTAATCCTGAAGCTGTACTGAGATGAGCCAACTCTGTCTCCAACACCCAACTACACCCCACAGCAGACTGGGACCGTGCATCTGGATCTCCTCATGCTGGAAATCTCTGTGCCTCTGTTTACACAACTGTAAAATAACTGCAGAGTTCAAACACGGGCTGTAAGTCTCAGCTTTGGTCCAAGAAGGCCAGAGGAGATCCTTCCACTATGGGCTCTAGCAGAGGTGGAACACACGGTACCACGGGGATGCAGTGTCACCACCAGCCACACTGCAGGTGGATGACCAGGACACACTAGGGTAGGGGATGCCAGCCTGCCTGCTGGAAGGGAAAACTGTCCTGACTACTCTCTCCTCTGATAGCTCCCATCAGACTGCAAGTGGCTTTTATCTCCACACTGGGGCCCTTCAAGCTCAGGCCAATTCTCAGGCCAATAAAATCCTCAGGTTCAAATAAAACCCTTTTGAATAGCCGTGAGTCAGAAGCAATCGTGGAGAGGAAACAGCTGCTCTCCTGTGCTGCCTCTGATGACCCTGGCATCCAGGTGGCTGCTAGCAGCATCCTCCTGGGACAACAAGCCAAGATGTGCTGTGCCTCTTCCTTCCCTGCTTTCCTCACAACTGCACTGCAATTTGTGCTAACCTAGAAAGGACCCTCGAGCTTAAGGCGGCTCTTAATGGAAGCATTTTGAGACAGCTGCTTTCTGGAGAAAGTATTCCTTAAAATACAGCTCTTGCCTTCTGCCTCTACCCCAGCTTTTGACATTTTACAGCTCCAGTAAAACAAAATGTTTTAAAAATCTCATTTTCAGCTTTGGAGGCACAAAACCTAGAGCCAGTTTCCAAGCAGCCAGGCAGGAGATGAAAAGAGCAGCAGTGGCTCCATGCACAGCACCTTTAGGACAACGAGCTCCATCTCTGCTCCAGCTCACAGCACCTTTCTGACAACGAGCTCCATCTCTGCTCCAGCTCACAGCACCTTTCTGACAACGAGCTCCATCTCTGCTCCAGCTCACAGCACCTTTCTGACAACGAGCTCCATCTCTGCTCCAGCTCACAGCACCTTTCTGACAACGAGCTCCATCTCCGGAGCAGGAAGCAGCTCCCATATGCCCCACGGCACAATCTGCTGGCGGCCCATGGCTCAGGAACCAACTCCTGAGCAGCAGCACCATGGGCTGGCTATTATTTTGCAGGCAGTGCTTGTCTGCTCACCAGCTCCCGGGGCTCCAGTGTCTTCTCTCCAGCCTCCCCAACTCCCTCTAGGAGTTTCACATGGAAGTGGCTGTCAGAAGTGACAACATCAGGACTGGATTAGCACAGGCATCCCCCCTAAGGGCAGGATGCTCTGTTACACCTCTGAGATGGGGAAAGCAGAGCGCTGACAGCGAGGAAGAGCATCAGCCACAGGGATCCACATTTCCAGTCCACAAAAGACATCAATGCTGGGACTTTTTTCAGCAGATTAAAGGAATTTGGATTGTCCATACCCAACACAGAAAGGATGTTTGGTTTAGATGAAATTTTTTTAGTAGGGAAAAAGGAAAATTTGGAGGCAAAGGAGAAAAGTGATGCTGAGGCCATGGGGCAGCAGCCACAGGGTGGGGGGCAAAAGCAGCAGCTCAGGCAAGACCAGCAAGGTGGCTGCTCCTGGGAGGGAGACTGGGGTGAATTAAAGCAATTAAATAGGGGAGGTAAATGGAACTGTAAGGCCTTTTAAGGCTGCTCTCTTAAGGCAGATGAAATAGAGTCATCTTTTGTGAAAAAACATTTGACATTTCTCCAAAACAGGGCAAGATGCAAGAAGGAGTTGTCTAACCCTGGAGATAGCAAAATTACTGCAGTCTGCACTGTCCCTGGCAGTCCAACACTGCCCTTTCCACCTCCCATTCTCACATCAGTGGCCCAAGTGGGAAAACCTTGAGGGCAGGGATGCTTTGGGAGGGAGAGCTGCTCAGCAGAAGCACACCATCTCTGCTATGCCTTCTGGCGTGCATTCTGTCCTGATTAAAAAAAAATCTGGCAGTGTCACTGCCTGTCCCCCTGGGAGTGCATCATGGCTACAAACCAGGTGCAACCATTAACACTGCTGTAAAATGAGCTCTTCATTTCACTCCCATCACACTGGGGAAGGCAAAATATCCCAAACAGGCATCTATCCCAGGACAAAGCCCTCCAGGCCATGCGTGCTGTCCAGCCAGCAAAGAGAGATGCTTCAGGCAATTGAGACACAGTGCAAGTCAGAGCAACAGGAGAAGAAAGAAGAGGAAGCTGAAGCTGTGGGCAAGCAGCACCATCTCCAAGCAGCCCAGGAGCAGCCTGGGATGAGCAAGGGTGTGACACAAACGAGAGGGGCTGCAGAAATGCACCTGGGATTAGCTGGGAGTGATGGAGTCAGCAATGACTATCTGAGAGTCAGAGAGAATGGGTCAGATTTCAGAATTACAGACTTACAAAGCACTTTAAAGGGGTCATCTAGCTCCAATACCCTGCCATGGATAGGGACACCTTCCACTAGACCAGGCTGCTCAAAGCCCTGTCTGGCCTGGCCATTCTTCCAGAGATGCAGCCACAGCTTCTCTGGGCAACCTGGGCCAGCACCTCACCACCCTCACAGGGAAGAATTTCTTTCTAAAATCTATTGCTTTAAAAATAAAACAAACTCTTTGTGGAGCATGGCTTGAACTCAAAACAATGTTGAGGTACTGAAGAAAGAGCTGGAACTATTTCAGGAGGCAATTCCTCAAGGATTATGGAAAAGTGCCAACTTTGAGAATAATCAAGCCAGGAAAATAATCTCAAGAATTAGGAAATTCTTCAGAGGATAATACTGGAAGAGAAACTGACACTGGAAGTGAAACTTCACCCTCAAGGTGAGTGGGCAGCACCAGGATGTCCCCTCCAGAAACCAAAGGGGGACACCACCACCATCATGGTGCTGGGAGTGCCAGAGCAGGACAGAGTGGGATGGGGACCTGGGAGGGAATGACCTGTTCCAGGCATCACTCTAGGAATAACCATGCACGAAAACTCCTGGGAGAGCTGCTCCAGGAGCCCCAAGTCCAAGGGCTTGGAGACAAGAAGAGAGGTGCATTTCCAGCCTGTCCTGCACCCCAGAAGGCCCTGGCTGTGAGGTCTGGGATGCCAAATCCCACTGCTGGGAAGCAGCACTCCTGGCTCCACATGGGCACTGCCAGCCCAGTCAGTGCCAAGCTATCACTTTTCGGCTGGAAATAGCCCCGGCACGAGCCCTCAGCTGGGGAGCAGAGCACTGGCGAGGCCAGACTGCGGTTAGCTATCAAAGACAACTAAAAAAAGATATTTCACACACAGGCTTTTTTTTTTCCCTTCTCTTTTTTTTGGTTGCTTTTTTTTTTTTTTCCCAAGGATTAAATCAACTCAACAGCCCCCTTTACAACTTCCCTTTTGATGTGTTCAGACTCATTAAAGTTTCATTTCTTTCTCTGTTTTCCCCGGGGGAGGAAGGGGAGCGTACACAAAAGTTTATTTCAGAAGCGGGGTCGGCAGCTGCAGCAGCAGCAGCTGCTGTTGCTGTGGGACAAGCGGAGCCTCCACCAGCCTTTGCTCTGTGCCCAAATCCCTTGGCAAAACACATCCCCCAGCAGCCACCCCACTGCCCTGAGCAGCCCCAGCATCACCCTGGCACGACGCTGCACCAGTGTTTCTGCAGGATGCACACACGGTGTCACACGTCACAAAGGGAACACACCAGAGATGCAAAGCTCCTGTAAACCCTGTGGGGAGTTTTGGGTCTGATCCTGCAAGTTTTCAGATCCAACCCTTCGAGTTCTGGGGTCCCTTCCCAGCCTTTTCCATTCCCCCCAGCGGCAGCACCAACGTTTCCCCCACAGCTTTGGCCACTGCCCTGGGATAATCCCCCACACACGTCAAGGGAGTAGCAGCTCCCCCATGTTTCCATCTCGCCTGAGCAGCTGTTTAAGTGTCTATTTTAAAACTCAGTTCCCTATTTTAAAATAGCTAATGAGCCCCCGATCTCTGCTGACAGACGTCTTCTCTACAAGGTCTTGGGAGATGCTTCTGTGTTTGCTGGGCTCCTTTTCCCAAGCCCTGAAATCTCAGCATGCCCAGCACGTCTCCAATCTGCACAAACATGGTAAAGAGGGAAGTTTTTAATTTAAGGGCCAACTCCTGCTCCCCTACCGTGAAATACCAGCGGTACAACCACGTGCTCCTAGACAGAGAAGCATCAAGCAGCCAGGCAGAGGCTGGCATTCTGCGTGGTTTTCTGTTGTTATTTTTTTATTGTTCCTTCGATTTTATCAGATCTTTTTTAAAATTTCCTGACCAAGAGCAAACAAGGAGCTGTCCCAGCTGGCCACTGCCCAAAAAAAGGCATGCACATGAAAGGGACTTTTCAGGATGTGGCGGGAGGTCCCTGTGCAAGCCCAGGACCCCCAGCATCACCTCTATGCGCTCTCCCAGATGGTGTGCAGCCCACCAAGGCAGAGGGAACCCCACAGAGAGGACCAGGCACAGGACCAGGCTCCCAACCAGGACCAGGCTCCCCATGGACAGATGGAGGAGACCCCACTCACTTACCTGACCACAGGTTCAGGGATGGCCTCGGCACTTGCTGGCACCTGGACACCCTTCTCCCACTCCTGCCTCCAAGGATCAGCCAGAACGTAGTACTCGTCAGGACTCAGCTGGAAGGAGTCAGGGATCTTCATGGCTGTTATCAGATCCGTCCGGAAAACCTGCACCGGGAAAAAGCCCAGCCTGAGTGCAGAGTCCAGACAGGCACACGTGCCCAGGGAGGGTGTCCTTGGGAAACTGCCCCCAAGGGGCAGCACAGGGGGTGTCTGCATCACCAACTTCAGCGTGTCAAGTTAAGCCCCTGCAGGGCAAGTTTTGGGCAGGAGAACATGGCAACAGGCAGGGACTCCAGAAATGCCAAGAGCCCAAGCCCTGCAGCTGCAACCCCTTCAAGGCCCCCACACTGGGCAGTCAGGAAATCCAGCCACAGGGTGTGAGCTTGGACAAGATGCAGACCAAAAATTAGTTTTTAACTGAAGAAACAGGCTGCTTTATCTTAGGGGATTGATGGTTTCAGCACAACCACACAAATCTACTCCAAATGCCAAGGGATGTAGAGCAAATGGGCTTCTCCTTCTCCACATTTGGCCTTCACAGGCCACAAGAAAATGTTGTTCTTGTCTTGAATAAAGATGTGGGAAACACAGAGCTACTTTGTCTCAAGCACCTTCATATCCTCTTCACGTCATTTCACCATCCTGAGCAACTTTGTGTCCCCTTCAGGTCACTTCACTGCCCCAAGCACCTTCATGTCTCCATCACATCACCTCATTGTGCTGAGCAGGGACAAACAAAAGCTTAAGACAGAAATTATCCAGCTAAAATGTGATCTAGGTGCTGCTCACATATCCACAAACACAGATTTCTCCTGACTCAATAAACCCCTTGTGAGATCAACACTGGCCCCCTCCTGTAGGAAAATCCTCCAGTCCTTCAGTGAGTGAATGGGCTCATTTTCCATCTCATTCGTGGCCCTGCAGCATCTTCTCCCAATATACAAGGATGAAAATCTCATTCTAAAAATATCCCTCACGGTAAGTAAGGTTTTCCTTCCAGAGGGCTGCCTGACAGCAATGACTTGAGCAATCCTGCCTCTTGCAGCATAAAAATAAATTGTAAATGAAAATGGATGATTTCTCTTCTTTACCATCTGCTATTAGCTGGAATAATAACTGCCAGTGCCAGCAATCCTGCCTGGACTCCATCTCGCTCCATCCCTGCTACTTCTGCATTCCTTCCACAAGGCTGGGATGGATCAGGTGTTTTCTCTGGATATTGTTTAATCTCTTCACAGTCTGTTCTCCAAATGAGAATTTCTTTGTCAGAATCACAAGAAATAACACAGTATAGTTTTACATTTTTTGACACAAAGATAACACACTTTAGAGAGTATTTGGGAGCCCAAATCGACTGAAATGCAGGAAACTAGACATTAAGTAAGACCACTGAGACCAGTATTTAGGTCAGTTTGTTTAATCCTCAGAGCCTCAGCTGCTAACCCAATTAGAGTTCAATACAATATATAAACAACCTTTGCTATGTTGGGACCTCTGAATTTCACTGGTATTCTCCTCCTGATGCAGCTGTTTGGAGACATTTTTAACTACGTCCATATCAACCTGATATGAGTTGGTCAGACACAGTCTTGGCACACCCTTCAACAAACATAATTAACAGCCTATATATTACAGTCAGCTCAGTTTGGGAAAGATCAGGGTCCTTTAAGCCTCTGTGTGTTACAAACACATGGTTACAGACACCGCAGTAACCTTTTAACACACTACCAGTGTGAGAAATTAAAAAAATATCAAGAGAGGCATTAATTAAACATGAGAAGGGATAAGTGAGATATCACAGTCCCTCCAGCAGTGTGGGTCTGTGATCCAAACGAGCACAGGAATCCCACTGTAGAGTGTTTTCTAAAGCAAAGGGTAGGAATGCACCCTGTTCCTGACAGCCCCGTGCTGACAGGTCACAGCCTGGGTCAACATCTCCTTAACCCAGTTTCAGAGCCCAGCTCCAACGAGGACAACACAAACCTGAGCAATCCCTCACGCCCCAGAGCTCTTGGCTTGGGTGCATGAGATGCTCCCCTGGGCCTGAACCAGACAGGGCTGAGGCCACCATGGGGGTCAGTGCCCCCTCCCTGCCCTGGCCACCAGCACCATGCAATCAATGAAGCACAGACTCATCAAAGTTGGAAAAGCCCTACAAGAGCATCAAGTCCCACCGTCAGCCCAGCACTGCCAAGCTCAGCACCAAGAGCCACATCCACATCTTTTTAATTCCCTCCAGGGATGGTGATTCCTCCACTGCCTGGGCAGCCTGTGGCAGTGTTTAATCACCCTTTCAGTGAAAAACTTCTTCCTAATATTCAATCTAACCTTCCCCTGGCAACAGCAGAAGACTGCTATAGAAAATACTGTTTTGAAGACACATGCCCTAGGGATCTGTGGGCAAAGGCAAGCAGGAATGGTTCCAAAGGTGCAGGGCACCCAAAAGCTTTTCTGAACGACCTGGACTGGATCCTGCTGACATGTGAGTACCCTCCTCCCTCAGTGCCAGCTCAGGTGCCTCCTGAGGGCACCTCCTTTGATGCTGTGGGGTGCAGGAGCATTGCATTCTTCTTTCATGCAGGCAAATACACCCAATTCTGCCAGGAAGCTGCTCAGGGCAGTGCAGGGCAGGGTGGCAGCATGCTCCTGCTTCCCCCTCATTGCACAGAGCGGGCAGCCAGCTCCAGAGCAGTGGAGACCACGGGACTGCCCTTTACAGGACAACCATTGGAAGGGTCCAGCCATATCATCACCCTGCCCTGAGGCCTCTGGGCGCTCACAGCAGCTGTGGCCTTCCCAGACCCTTACCCCAAGCAAAAATCACCATTTTCTTTTGCTAGGTCAGCACCAGGTGACAGCAGTGAGGTGACAAGCCCTGTCTCTTTGGGTATCCATGGAACAGTGTCAAAATCCTGGCCCATCACCCTCCTCCTACTGATGAAAAGGGAGATGGAGGAGCCTGCACAGCAATGGGACCAGCCCTTGGTATAATTTCTCCCCTCTGCACGGTGCAGATCCCAAGCCCGTGGTTTCCTGCATTAAGTCTTCCCCAAATTCATCCCTTCTGGCCTTTCAGCTCACATCAGAAGAGAAGCTTAGTTTTAATTTTAAGCCAAATAAGCACGATTGTATCTATTTCCCTGAAGATAAGGCACATCGCAGGCTGGATTTGCAATCTCACTACTTCATTTATTTAGTCCTTCTTGGAAAACAGATAAGCTCACCCATCCGACGGCAGCACGCGCGCCCGCACTTTATCACAGCGACGCCTCTGTCTTTTCATGAAGAACTGGATATGCTCAAATTATTAACTATCAAAGCAGAACACTTTAGAAATGATAGAACAGCACAGAAATTGTAAAGGAAAGCAGATCAGTTGTCTGGAAATCTCCCAACAGCTAATACGCTCAAATTGTAATCTAAATGTCTTTTTGTTTTGAATTGTCTGGGATTAGGGTTGGGAAAAGACTCAATTATTCTACTCAAACTCTTCTGAATTATTTATGAAAACCAAATAAAGGATAAATTGGGCACTGATGAACCGAGGACCTGGCGATGAAGAGAAAGTTGGGTACCAGAAAACAAGCAATTTTCCCTCAATAGGAGTGTTTACTGTTTCTCCCCGGCTGTGGGAGCTGACAGATTGTCTGCTGCCCTGCACCCGCTCCCCCTGCCACCACCACAGCCCTGGCCAGGCTCTGTCCTTCCCTTTCAGCCCTGAATGGGACCTCAGTTATTGCCTATCGATCTGCCAGCAATGGGAAAGGCCAAACCAAGACGTTCCTCTATTACCTCTGCTAGCTCAGGAACCTCACAGAGGTTTAGTGATGCTCAGAGATGCATCACACCAGTGCCCAGGGCCAGCCTCTCCCTTTGTTACTGTCAGCTTTAAAGATGGGGGAAAAGAACGTGAAATTTCAAAATCCCAAGATGTTTTTTCCTTCATATTTCCAAAAGAAATGGACATGGAGTCCACACCAGGTCAGTGCGATTGTGCAGTCTCAGACCCCAGACAAAGAAAGGAACGTGGGGAGAAAACCTTAACCTCCCTTGTATCCCACGGGCCAGGCAAGCCTGGGCTACCCCCAGGACCTCCCCATCCTTGCTGCCCACCAGTCGGTGTTGGACTAACACACCAGTAGAGCCAGTCCTGGCAGTCCAGTAACATGAGAAGTCACTGGGACACCACAGCCATGGTGCTCCCCAACAACACATCAGTACTTTGGTAATTTCTGTTATTTGCTATTTTGAAGCAAAAGCTGTGTTGCCCTTATGTCTCAAAAAAAACCCAAACAAACCCTGAGCTAATTAAATGCAGGATCCTCTGATGTTCCCATCCCAATGTGTCACTTGGATCCAGCCTGGCATTGGAAGGATGCCCCTGCAGGTATGGCAGAAACCTGCAAGGCAGGGGCTGGATTTGGCTCCTGCTTGAGCCCCTGGCACCTTTTACATTTAGCTGTTCCACCTTGGTGAGGATCTGCTGCTTCTCCCACTGGACACAGCCCTGCACCCTCTCCCTGTGCCCTGTGACACTTGTGAGGCATCTCTGGGAGATCTCCATGGACCAGCATCAATTTGTCCAACAGCTGCACAATCTCAGAGAAAAACACGCACCCCTGGGAGATGCCAAGGCACACAGTGCCTCACCACAACAGGAAGGACGATGGACATGCCATGAGGCATCAGAAATGCTGCTCCCCACCCCTCCCTTGGCTAAGGACTCCCAGACTGTGCTGCTTTCCAGCACTCTCCTCCTTCTCTGCCTCATCACCACCCAGCCCCTCTGAGAGCCTCTCCACCACCTTTCCATGCAATTCTCACATCCATTTCTAGGCTCTGTGATTCACTCACAAACCCCTTAATGAAGTGGCCAGCAATCTCCCTCCCATTCAGTTCCCACTCCATGTGCTCTGTCAAGGACTTTTCCAGTGACTGTACTGTAGGTCTGAGCCTGCCAAATGCCCCCTTTGCCCCAAACAACCCACCCGAAACCACCAACCTCTGATCCCGCGGGAGCGACTTTCCTCTCGTACGAAACCAGCTCCTGGGCGAGAGCCAAAGAGCCGGATCTGTTTTGGGCTTTAAATCGAAATGAAAAGCAA